ACTTCATTCTTTTTCCTTCCTTAGGGTTCCTAAAAAATAAATAAATAAATAAATAAATAAATAAATAAATAAATAAATAAAATATCTGCTATGTAATCTTGTTACTTATATACTCTAGAATTTTGAATTTCTCTAATGGATATTATTAAAGACTGGGTTTACAGGTTTAAAATACTTTTTTCCCCCCGAATATACCTTTATTGATTCAGAGAGGAAGGGAGAGGGAAAGAGAGATAGAAACATCAATGATGAGAGAAAATCATTGACTGGCTGCTTCCCACCTCAAGCCCAAAACCCAGGCATGTGCCCTTGACCAGAATCGAACCTAGGACTCTTCAGTCTGCAGGCTTACGTTCTATCCACTGAGCCAAACCTGCTAGGACTAAAATACTTTTTTTAAAAACAAAGTATTTCAGAGCAAGAGGAAAGAAGAGGGAGAGAGAGAAACATCTGTGAGAGACATCCATTGGCTGCCTCCTGCACTCCCCCTACTGGGAATTGAGCCTGAAACCCGGTCATGTGCCCTGATCTGGAAATGAACTTGCAGTCTGTTGGTGCATGGTTTGACGTTCAACCACTGAGCCATGCCATCCAGGCTAAAATGCTTTTTGATACATAGATGAAACTTGTCACTCCTAAATACAATCTTCTTTTCAAACTGTAAAAGATATTTTGTGTGTATTTCTATTATGTATTAAGCAAAGCAGAATCCAATTGCTATATATATATATATATATATATATATATATATATATATATATATATATATATATATCTGTGACCCTTCTCTGCCACTTATTAATGTCCAATCTTGGTCAAACTACAGTCTATAAGTCTTCTCAAAAGAAGACAGAAGGAAGGCCAAGAGGCACATGAAAATATGCTCAAAGTCACTAATTATCTGAGAAATGCAAATCAAAACAACAATGCAGTACCATCTCACACCTGTCAGAACAGCCAACATCAACAAATCAACAAACGACAAGTGTTAGCGAGGTTGCGGAGAAAAAGGAACCCTCGTGCACTGCTGGTGGGAATGTAGACTGGTGCAACCACTGTGGAGAACAGTATGGAGCTTCCTCAAAAAACTGAAAATGGAACTCCCATTTGACTCAGTAATCCCACTCCTAGGAATATATCCCAAGAAGCTAGAAACATCAATCAGAAAGGATATATGCACCCCTATGTTCATTGCAGCACAATTTACAATAGCTAGGATTTGGAAACAGCCTAGGTGCCCATCAGCAGATGATTGGATCCAAAAACTATGGTACATTTACACAATGGGATATTATGCTGCCATAAAGAAGAAAAAATTCTCATCGTTTGCAGCAACCTGGATGGAATTGGAGAACATCATGCTGAGTGAAACAAGCCAGTCAGTGAAAGAGAGACACCACATAACCTCACTTATTTATGGATGATAAAGAACCAAAAGATAGATATAGAGACAGTAAAGCAACAAGCAGACTGTCAAATTACAGCGGGGAGGTTGGGGAGATCTGGGGGAGATAAGAGATCAACCGAAGGACTTGTATAAATGCATATAAGTACAACCAATGGACACAAAACTCTGGGGAGGGAGGATATGTACGGGAGGAGGGGCAAGGGTATATGTACAAAAATAATAATTTAAAAATATATATTTTAAAATAAATAAATAAAATAAAAACTCAAAAAGAAAAAAAAAGAAAATGTAGAAATGGTGAATAATAAAATGTCATCATAATAAGAAAAATGTAATGAACAAAACTAATCTTTGATAGTTGGATATCCTGTAAGAATAATTCTGAAATAGAACTTTTGGCAGCAAAATGGTACCAGAATGTTACTGGAGACTGGAACTTGGTTCAGCAACCTCGTTTGAGTTCTGGCTAAGAAAGAATTCGGAGCCAAGATTCAAACTATTTCAAAAAGTTTATTTAGAAAGTTACAGAGGTAGAAGTGAGCCATTGAGGCGGGGGGGTGGGGAGTGGAAATGGGCTCAGGAAACAAGTTACAGAGGCAAAGGAAAGGCCCTTAGAAGAAGGAGCTTAGGAGAAAGAGGCAAGGAAAAAGTTCTTTGGGGAAATGGTGATGAAAGGCATGTTTGTGTTCCATACTGGCCACATAGGGTTCTTCCTCTTAAAGGCTTTTATTTACTCAAAAAATGGGTGTTTCAGAGGAAGAACTCACTGGACAATTCATCAGCTTTCCAGGACATGGTTGGCACTAGGGCAGGTCATTAGTCCCCTCAGCTTGTCCTTATGTCAGACATGGCATCGCTTGCCTGGTTTTGCTGCTTTTCTGGGCCTAGAACTGAAATACAACTGAGTCCTAGATAGTATCCCTAAGGGTTAATGCCTAAGAGAGTGGTTGTGCTAGGGCCCACATGAGAGTGGCATGAGGCCATTCTTCGGTCCCTTGTTCCTCCTCCAAGGGATCTGCCACAAGACTAGTGACAGGGGAGGAAAGGTCAGGGGAGGGCCCAAACTGCATGACCCACGATATGAAAGGCCAGGGGGTATAGGTCTGAACCAAATGACCAGAGACATGTGAGAAAACAAAAGGTGACCCTGTGGGCGTGATCCTTGTTTTCCCAGTTTTGGCACCCGAGGCTTTCTGCCCTTTGACCTTCTGTACCTGGCCCATTGTCCTTGCTCTGCTCATGCCTGTCTGCCTACCTATACTGATTTATCAATATACTTATATCGACATATAGACAAGGATATAAGCCATTCTGAATGTGAGTTTCTTGAGGACAATCTATTTAAAATCTTCGTTATCTATATTGTTTCACAGAGAACCTGACCTATAATAGGATCTAAATAAATGTTTGTTGTATTGTTAAAGAAGGTAGTATACAAACCACAAAAAGTTCATTAAGAGCTGCATAAAAATTTTTTTAATATATTTTATTGATTTTTTACAGAGAGGAAGAGAGAGGAAATATTTTATAGAAAGTCAGAAACATCAATGAGAGAGAAACATCTATCAGCTGCCTTTTGCACACCCCTTACTGGAGATGTGCCCACAACCAAGGTACATGCCCTTGACCTGAATCGAACCTGGGACCTTTCAGTCCGCAGGCCGACTCTATCCACTGAGCCAAACCGGTTTTGGCAATTTTTTTAAATATTAATTTAAGCACTTGAGGCCAAAATATGTAAAAGTATACTCATTACCTTTTTTTCTCTTTGAACAACTTTATTGAGATATATTTGACATCATAAAATTTAATGATTTTTGGTTACTTTATTGAGTTGTATAATTATCACCAAAAATCAATTTTAGGACATTGTCAAACATGCCCCCTTAAGGTCCTTCATGGCCATTTTTAGTTTCCATCCCAGCGTAGGCAACCACTAATCTACAATTCAAATAAATAGAATGTACCGTATGTAGTCTCCTATAGCTGAGCTGGCTCCTTTCACTATATTAAATTTTTTATAAAATTTTTATATATGTTTTTATTGATTCCAGAGAGATAGGGAAAGGGAGAAAGAGATAGAAACATCAATGATAAGAAAGAACTATCAATTGGCTGCCTCCTGCACACACTACTGGGGATTGAGCCCACAAGCTGGGCATGTTCCCTGACCGGGAATCAAACCAAGGACCTCTTGGTTAATGGGTCGGGACTCAATCACTGAGCCACACTGGCTGGGCATTAATGATTCCTTTTAAAGTTTACTCATTGTTTTTTATTTTGTCCTCAAATAATGGTGAAAGGAGGATTATGGTATGTATGGGTGATCAGAAGTAAAATGTTTCAGTTAATTAATCTTTGTCCATTAACTCTAGTTAATTGTTTCAAAGAAACACCATACAATAAACGTAGTTTTATATATTTACTTCACCATTTTGCCCTTAGAGAGCTCACTGCACAGATCAGAGCAATCCAGTAGGCTAGCCACTAGCTCCTCAACCTGTTCAACACTTGAAATGTGGCTAGTGGTGTGCTGTAAGTATAAAATACACACTAGTTTTGGAAACATTATAAAAATATAATTATTTCATTTATAATTTTATATTTAGTGTATATAGAAATAATATTTTAATATATTGGGATAAAATAAAATATGGTATTAAGATTAATTTCACCTCTTTTTTAACTTTTTTAATGTAACTCCTAGCAAATTTTAAATTGCAGATGTGGCTTTCATTATATTTTTATTAATGTCACTGGTCTAGAGTCAGTAAGTGTGTGTATACTCACAGGTACTATAATGATTTTCATAATTTAAAAATGAAGAAACTAAATAAATTACAGTTATACCCTCCTCTATCATGTTGTTTCTTCTTATGGGAATAAAGTTTGATGAATAATCTAATTATACTAGTACTCCATTATGATGGGTTGCTTCCTCTCTGATTTCTCTGTTTAACTGTTTGCAAAAGATTGTAGTTCCTTCATTTTGCCTTTGACATTTTCATATAAGTTAACAGAAGTAGGATTCTTGTATTTTAGAATATAAGCACTTAAGAACTGATGTGAATATATAAGGGAGTTAGAGGTCCAATTATCTAATTTTGCTTTAGTCTATAAATACATTTTAACAGAAGTTCCCTATCTAAAGATAAAATTTGCTTCAGCATTTTTTTTTTTTCATTTCCCTCCTTCCTCCTTACCCTTAAAAGGGCAGTTCTCATCCTAGCCAAACCGTGGATATAGTGTTGGCTGAGGACAGAAGGGTCCTGGGCTGCAGGCTCCATCCCCAGTGGGGGATGTGCAGGAGGCAGCCAATCAGGGATTCTCTCTCACCATTACTGTTTCTATCCCTCTCACCCTCTCCCTTTCTCTCTGAAATCAATTAAAAAATAAAAATAAAGAATATGGGCCCTTTATTTTTTTTAAAGGCCCCTTAGATCTCTTTAGGTAGGTTCAGCATCTCTTAGTTCTGTCTTATGGCAGTAGCGAGTATTTTGAATACTTTGTATCTTAACTTTTATTCTTTAAAAACTGAAACAATTCATTTACTTCCAACACCTTTTTGTCTTGGTTTTTGTCGCATTTTTAGGAAGATCATATCACAAATGACATTGGAATATCGACTTGGAAGGAGCAGACTTTTCTCTCCCATGGTGCCTTATTAGCAAAGAGCTGCCAAGCTGCAATGGAATTAGCAAAGCATGATGCTGAGGTTCAGGATATGGCATTTCAGTATGGGAAGCACATGGCCATGAGTCATAAGGTATTTGCACACCCTTTCTCCTTCTCAGTGCTTAAAGAGCTAAAATTATACATCAGAAACCTTGGGCCATTTGGTAAGCTTTTTCTCAAAAAATGTTTATTGTGTGTTTAAAACCTATCAGTCATAGACAGTGATTGTTATATAAACAGTGTGGTGAATACTGTGTAAGTTTGACAGAAAGCTGTAGCTTACTTTAACCGTATTTGTGATATTTGTCTTTTCTTACCACCTGAAAGGGTTCTTGAAAGAACTCTTGCAATTGTTAGATTACATGTAATGTTGCTATTTATGGAATATTTTCATTTTTGTTGCAGTTCTTTTCTAGTTCCTTATGTAAAACAAATTATGGAAAGTTAATGAAATTTGGAAATGTACTGAATAAAATTGAAAGCTTTACTTCTAATAACTGGTTCTTTTGAATAGGCATAGTAAAATATAAAATGTCCTAAGATTAGCTTTCCAATGTTTCCTCTATGGATATATAATTGTAAAATTGTACTTAATATATTTATACTTTAAATGTTACTTAAATGGCTTATAAGAAGGAGGAAACATATATATATATATATATATATATATATATATATATATATATATATATATATAGCTAATATGCTAAGAGTCTGACCCTCCAACTGGTCGCTTGACGCGCACTGACCATCAGGGGCAGACCTCAACACAGGAGCTGCCCTGATGCTCACTGGCACCTCGGACCTGGCACCCACAAAGCAATACTCGTCTTCCCCCAAGTGGGACACAGGCCCCGCTACTACATCAGAGCAACAGCCCATCAAATCACAGCCAATGCTGCTAAGACCCCTGGTGCAAAATGTGGCCCACCTTCCCTCCATAATGGCGAGCCTCCTTGGAGTTTCTTCAGCCCGGGAATATGACTTGCTTTATAGCCAGGTGCAAACATTTCACACTTTAACCAAATGTCTGTGAAGCGTTTTCCCGTGCCTCATCTCATTTGATCCTCACAGAAGTCCTGGAGTGGGTAGATAGGAGACTCAGTGAAATCCTATTTTCTTTTCATTAGCCAGAAAACAGATTTAGAAAGTTTAGAAACATGACCCGACTGAAAAGAAGTAAGAAATGGTGGGCCCTGCCAAAACCGGTTTGGCTCAATGGATAGAGCGTCGGCTTGGGGACTGAAAGGTCCCGGGTTCGATTCCGGTCAAGGGCATGTACCTTGATTGCGGGCATATCCCCAGTAGGGGGTGTGCAAGAGGCAGCTGATGGATGACTCTCTCTCATCGATGTTTCTAACTCTCTCCCTTCCTCTCTGTACAAAATCAATAAAAATGTTTAAAAAAAGAAAAGAAAAGAAAAAAGAAATGGTGGGCCCTGATAGTGACTTCAGGTTTTGTCACTGAACAGAACGCAGTCAAACACTGCTGCAGTTAAACATTTTACCCTTGGTTCTCCCGGCATGATCTACAATAATAATCTGCTTAGTGATGATATGTACTGCTGTGTTGCTAACAATTACCAGAAAGAGAAGTTGGGGTGCTTCATTGGGCTGGAAAAAGTTTAGCTATATCAGAAAGCAGGTCTAATTAAGCAAATTTATTATATATTTATAAAAGGCTAAGTTGACTCATGCATGCACGATACATATAAAGATCTTACTGGCACCAATTGCATGTGTGTGTTTTGATATGTCATTGTCGATTGTGAATTTGGTTGACACTTCTATTATAGAGAAAGGGTGAATAGTGATATTAAAATATTTCTTCTAATTAATTTCTTTTGCACTGGGCCACTAATATTAGTATAAATGTAGTTTGTCCAGATAATTTTTACATATTTTATTAAATCTTAGGTTAGCTTATTAAGCAATTATATTTATTAGATGTTTTTAAGTCCTGACCTTGAACTTAAAGTAAAATAAAGGTTTCTGCTAAATAAAAAAAAGGGATATGTTAAGGAAAAATTATTTTAAAGATTATTGTTTAATCATATAAACTGGTCTTTGGCTTATTAAAGTAAACCTAAAACCTGCATTTCTTAAACTTTATTTTTCACTATATTACCTAATACATTCAGTATATGACTAAGACATACTAGTGTATATGCATTTCACTTACTTAACTCTTTTCACTACTTCTAGATAAATTCTGATCTCCAGCCTTTTATTAAAGAAAAGACCAGTGACTCCACGACGTTTAATCTGAACTCAGCTCCTGTAGTCTTACATCAGGAGATTCTTGGAAGAGATTTGTGGATTAAACAGATTGGCGAGGTAAATGAAAGTATTCTATATTAGGTTCCAGTAGAATTAACTAATTTTAGAACATAATTCATATTTTATGACGATCTAATAAGACATCAGCCATATAGATCAGCCATATAAGAACTTATTCAGATAACAGGTAAAAGTCTTACTTTGTAATCTACATTTTTAAGAGGTAAAATGTTACTTACAAGATTGAAACTGCAATACTATGTTTGTTATCTGAATTCTTAGGATACTGCAACACAAAACTAGTGTGTATGGTGATACTAATTAATTCAGATGATTTTTTTTTTCTAAAGGCTTTCAAAAATTGGGCTCTGGTAATAGCACTACCCTTTAACTGACAGCAATTTTCCATCTGCAAGCTCTAGCACAAGCTGCAGAATTCCAGGAGGTCCGTCTGTCAGCTCATTGGGTTATTTTAAAACAAACTTGGACCCTGAATATTCAAGTTCTCAAGCATTACATTGGGGGAAAGCATGGTTAAGTGGGAAGGATAAAGGGGCTTAAGTTGGATAAATGTTCCACTTTTGGGATGGGGAAGTTGTGGGTGATAAAAGGAAACTTTTTTGTTTTTTGTTTAATCCAGAATCCTAGTTCAAAAGTTCTTGCTCTTCTACCTAAAACTTCACGGAATTTATGTAACTTCATGGTTCTGCTTGATTGAGTTAACCTGAGGCTGACACAGGAAAGGAACCAGGCACAGCTGAGGGGATAGCCACCATGCTTAAAGCAAAGAGTTCCTAAATGGCATCTACATTCAGAAAGATAGCCGAAACTGGTTTGGCTCAGTGGATAGAGCACCAGCCTGCGGACTGGAGGGTCCCAGGTTCGATTCCCGTCAAGGGCACATGCATTGGTTGTGGGCACATCCCTGGTGCTGGGTGTGCGGGAGGCAGCTGATCGATGTTTCTCTCTCATCGATGTTTCTAATTCTTTATCCCTCTCCCTTCCTCTCTGTAAAAAAAAAATCAATAAGATATATTTTTTTAAAAAAGAAAAATAAGATTTTTGCTCCCCAACTCCTCCTCCCCTTATTGGTTCTCAAAATGCTATCAGCCATCTTAAAATCCCTCTTATTCACCAGGTAGGAAACAATAGGATTCCTTTCTGGGGAAACTGTCAAGCTCAGGCAATAAGTCCTGCAGATGTGAATTACTGAGGCCCCCAGTGAGCTCGCCATGTCCTTGCAGCCCTTCAACAGTGAGGCCCACCAGTTGACAAGCCCCAACGTATCCAAGGGCAGCACCATAGGTACTAGAGGACCACTGGGCATTTGAGTAAAACCTCTGCCATAAAAGAATGAGGCAAGGCTTTCCCTTTCCGATTCGTCATCTGAGGTGCAGTGGCAGATTTTCATGAACGTCCTTACAGGGAAGACCATCTCTCTCCAAACTGAACCCTTGGATACAATAAAAAACATAAAGGCCTAGATCCAGGATAAGAAAGGATTTCCTCCTAATCAGCAAAGACTAATCTTTGCTGGCAAGCTTCTGGCAGATGGACATACTTTGTCTGACTATGACATTCAAAAGGATCCACTCTTCATCTTGTGTTGAGACTTCATGGTGGTGTTAAGAAAAGGGAGAAGTAGAATAAGTAAGTAAGAAAAGGGATAAAGAATTAGAAACATCGATGAGAGAGAAACATCGATCAGCTGCCTCTCGCACACCCAAGAAGAATAAGCATCAGAGAAAGAAGGTTAAGCTGGCTGTCCTAAAATACTACAAAGTGGACGAGAGTGGCAAAATCAGTTGCCCTCATCAGGAATGGCCTTCAATGAATGTGGTGCTGGAGTTTTTTATGGCTAGTCTCTTTGACAGATGACATTGTGGCAACTGTTATCTGATCTATTACTTCAACAAACCAGAAGACAAGTAATTGTATATGGGTTAAAAAAAGACATGAAATAACATTAATAAAAGAAAAGAATGATTCAAAATCAAACTGAAAAAAAGGGAACTTAGAAGAAACAGAGAAAGTGTAAAAAAAAAACACACATTTTCAAAAGTACTATAATCAGTAAACTCAGGAGATAGTAAGTCCATAAAATAAGAGGTTATATCTTTTTAAAATGACAATCCAAGAATGAGAAATTATGAAGTAAAAAATACAAAGAAGAATTTTTTTAATAGAAAGTATAAATGAGAAAAATCTCCCAGAAATTTGAATGAAAAGATAATAGAAAATAAAAAAGTTAAGAAAATTAGAGGACCAATTTAAAAGATTCTATTATGAATCCCAAAAAGAGAATATTAAAAATGCAAACAAAAAATTAACAATGAATTTTTTAAAAGAAAAGAAAATTTCTAAAAACAGAAGGACCTCAATCTCCAAATTGAACTGGTGCCCTAAATAATAAATTTTAAAAGATGCATGACAAATTTCATCATTATCAGATTTTGAAACAATGGAGATAAAAAGGATATCCTAGTACTAATAGAAAGAAAAAGAAAATCCTACCTGCAATGGATGAAGAATCAGTTGGTTAGAGCATTGTCCCAGTACACCAAGGTTATAGGTTTGATCCCCACTCAAGGCACTTTTTAAAAAAATAATCATAGTAATCAAAATGACCATGGAGACATTGAAAGCTTCAAGACAATGGTGTTTACTTCAATATTCAAAGAGAAAAACTTTTCCAACTTAGAATTTTATGCCAGTCATGTTATCAAGTGAGACATTAAAGACAATTAAAAACAGATAAGCAAGGTCTCAAAAAACTTACCTTCCAAGCATCTTTTTTCAGAGAGCAGGTGGAGTATTTCTATCAAGGCAAGTGAGTAACCAAGAAAAAGGAAGTTGTGGAATTTAGGAAGTAGAGGATGAGACATAGGTGTGAGGCAGTGGGGAGGAATATGAAGGGAGGAATAATAAGCCAACAGTGTTGCCAATAATAAGAACGCTTACCATGTGCCAAGAACTGTTCTAATGGAAAATCCGAGGGATTCACTACCTTGTGCACAGTCACACAGGTAGCACATGGTGGAGCCAGGACTCAAACTCATGTAGCCTAGCTCCAGGGCCCATGTCCTTAGAGTAACATGCTATACTAGAACATCCAAGCAAGTTCTAGGCTGATGGCTATGCATCCAATCTGGATTGGAACAAGAGGACAGAGACCTCCAGGAGAACTATCTCTAAGGGGAAAATGGTACTGAGATTGCCTAATGTACTTTACCATATAGAGAATTTAGGGAAAAATTAATGATAGGCACAGAAAAGTAAAGGTTCCTGTTACTATTACTGCAAAAACAAAATTTGCCTCAAATTTTAGCTACTTCTAATAATCATTTTATTGATTCTCTGGGTCAGGAATTTGGACAGTGCACTGAGGGGGTGACTGCTCTGTGATTTCTGGGGCCTCTACTGTAAAGACCCAGTGGCTGGAAGTAACTCAGTAATGCTGGGGTCTGTGATCATTTGGAAACTTCACTCTCACCTGGCACCTGGGCTGGACTGTCACGAAAACCAGGCTGCTGACCAACCGGAATGCTCACACATGGCCCTCCGTTTAGTTTGGCTTTCTCACAGCACGGCAGCAGCAGAGTAGTCAGACTGTTTACCTGCCTGATTGGAACTCCAAACACAAGTGTTCCAGCTGCACCATATCCTAGGGTCAGCCTCCCAAGTCACACAGTCATTTTCATGATCTCCTGGTAATTCAAGGGGAGGGTTGTAGATTTCACCTATCAAATGGGAAGTTTCCAAGAATTTGGGGCCCACATTTTAAAAGCCACACTCAACAAATGAGATAAATTGAAGTTATTAGTGATAATAAAAAAATGTTAATGTGTAAGAAAGGAAATTAATCAGTTCTCTACATGGCCTAAAAAAAAACATATGATATATATATATATCATAAAATACAAATATTAATTTAAAGCAAGTGTCATCAATGCAAGGAAGCTAAGGGGAAAATGTATTTTGGTCATGTAAGAAATGTGGAGGTGGGGTGGTTGGGGAGAGGTCAATGGGTGAAAAAGAAGACTTATGTAATACTATAAACAATAAAAAAAATTTAAAGAGAGAGAAGATAAAATCATTTTCCTTACAGTTCAGGTACCCCCTACCTCTGCCTAAATTGTCCATGTAAATTACTTACAAAATGGGATTGCTTTGAGCTTGGCTGGAAATTGTTTTTAAAAAGGTGGATTTCTCAAAGAAAAATAAAAGAAATGAGATTTTTTTTTTTCATGGTAGGATCAATAGATAATGTGTAAAATTTAATCAAGGAGGAATAATATATGAAGATTAACAGCAAAAGAAACAGTTAAAGAAAGGGACACAGAACAGACTAGAGAATGGTTGGAATTTTAGTAGAAGTCTTATATTATTTGACTTTTTAAATAATATACATATATTTGGATTTATTTTAAAACTTTTATTTTAAAATGTTACACTTTATTACAATGATTTTACTTCTAGTCATCTATACCAGGAAAAAATTATCAGAGATTGGGCAAAGACTTTTGTATTAAAATATAGTAAAATACTAATTCTAAAAGGAAGAACATGAAAATTGATGCATTTCAATATAGAAAAATGTTAAATGAAGTATCATACAATTGAGATATAACATGGCTATTGAATATTGTATCACTAAGGGTATATTTATGTATTTTTTGACAGCTGAACTGAAAATATATATACAGATGGTGTTAGTAGCTCTAATTGAGTTACAGTAGAATACATTACAGATTTACATTTTGGTTGAAAAATACAACTAAATATGTTCAGTGAAAGCTACCAACTATTCAGATATATACATATACATGTAAGAGTAGCATAGATATGAATTTTAAAGGAACTTCACAGAAAAAGAACATATTTAACTCTTAGTTTCCTTGTAAGCACGCTAAGTTGTCAATGTAGACAACACGAGAGTCCAGAATTTTTTATTCCCAAAATATTCCCAAATCAGTATCCCCAATTTGATTTAAATCAAAGGGATATCCTTTCCAAATTATCGGTGTGTAGCCACTGACTTCAGACTCTTCTCCTTA